CTTGGAGAGGATTCAGCAATTAGGCTTGGCAGGGCAGAGCTTCCTTGTACCTGTCCCTGTGTCATGGCACCTGCCTAGCTCCTGCCTCAAGTCCCCCAGTCTCTGATGTGACAGGAGACTTATCCCCCATGCCCAGGGTCTGCATGGTGGCAGTGATGAGAGCTGCCCACACCAAACCTTGCAGGAGAGGAAGAAATGCTCAGCTGGTCAGAGATGGTGTGAGCACCTCTGGATATACCAGGGCAAGGGCAAGCAGGTGGACTTTAATTGCCTTCAGCTGTAATTTCAATTTGACCTGAAGTGCTCCTGGGGTTGTCAGGTGGAAACCCAGGGCTGTTTATGTGGGAAGGGGCTCCTGAAGGTGGTCAGGTCCAGCTCTCCTGCCCTTTAACAAGGTCACCCAAATCCGGCTTCCTAAGACCATGTCCAGCTGGGATTTGAGTTTCTTCAAGGATGGACCCTCCACAACCTCTGCAGAAAACCTGTTCCCATGTTCAGCCACCCTTGCTGAAAGAAAATTTTTCTCTTCTTTTAATTAAATTTCCCATGTCGGTACTGCTCAATGTAAACCAAAGGAACAAGGCAAAGGATTCTTAGCAGCAAAGTCTGGGGAACAGAGCAGACTTAAGACTGGAGTCCCTTACTTGCAGCTATCCATACTCCTGGCACCTGGTACAAGTGCCATCCTCTCTGAAGCCCCTGGGGTGCTGGCTTATCCTCAGCATGACTCTTCCCTTTGGATATGTTTCTGTTTGCCATCTGCCAGAAGAGCCCAGATCTGTGCCATGTCCTTCCAGAGCCGCAGTACCCGGAGCAGCCCGTGCCCAACCCCGTGCTCCTGTGACACACCAGGGAGCTCCTCTTGCTCTTGGTGCTGTGACACACCAGGGAGCTTTTCTTGCTTTTCTTGCTGTTGGTGCTGCAGCCAGGCCCTGTCCCACCCTGCAGAGGCTGCACTGGCATCTGCAGGAGGGCACCTTCCAAGTGAGTCCCTTGCACTTCAGCTTTGTGCCTGCCTCCAAACACAGCATCTTCCCAGTGAATCAAAAACTGCTTATGGATCAGTGGCAGCACACCCACCGAGGGGATCCTTTGGAGAAGAAAGCTGATCATTACTGGGATGCTCCAGGGAAGAGACCAGTGGCAGTGGGAAGACAAAGGCAGGGCAGCAAAGCAGTGGGGAGAAAGCAGGGTGAGAGCAGAGAGGCCCTTTGGCCATTCCTGCCATTGTAAATTGCTTACTGAAGCCACAAGAAGAATTAAAACCTCCGACTAAACCATATTCCTACAGCTGATATCCTGTAGCAGGCCTTCACTGAACTCTGAAGAGAAGGTACTTGCAGTAAACACAAAAACAATGATCCAGAGATTGACATCAGTTAAAGAAAAATTAAGCAATGGTGAAGCCAAATACTTGACTTGTTGGGTTTTGCCCCTTCAAAACTTCTCTGTTACACAGTTTAGGAAATATCACGTCCAAGACATACGAAGGCAAAAAAGCAGGTGAAATTATGTAAATGAAAGGTGATGGCTGGAACAGAGACAGGGTGAGCTATTGAGGCCAAGCTGCTGCACCTGCTTAGAAATTTAATCTAGTCTTAAAGCAGCCTGGCCTGGCAGAAGCTAAAAGGAAACAGGAATTAAGGCCATGGCCACATCCCATTTAAGCTTTCACACCTGTAGTACACTACCCTCCCCTGGGCCTGTTACACCCCTCTGGCTCCCTGGCTTAGCCAAGCACAGGAGTTCTGTGTTTTATAAACCCCTCTGACTTCCTAAAACTCTGTCCTGCATCTCTTGCAGAGCCGTATTGATGCCAAACGATGACAGAAAATTAGCTTTGTCACTGCAATGGATGCAAGCAGTGCAGTATCTGTAACCCACAAAAGGGTGCCTTTGGGCTTACTCCTGACCCCTGAGCTACTCTCTCATCTTCCCTCCCTTCCCTTCCTTCTTGCAGCAAAGTTAAAGAATCACTCATGGAATCTAGTTAGCTGTGAATTTACTTTTCATTTTCCAGCTAGTTGCAGGTATTTCCCTCCCACCACCACTATTCCTCCTCCTTTAGCTTGTTTGTGGTCCAGTCAGGGCTGCTGCTGGTCCACGTTCAACCTGGAGTGCAGGGTAGGCGAAACACGAGCCTGCAATCCTGTACTCTGTTCTGTCCCCGCACAGGTTAGAGAGGACGAAATTAGAATTCCTTACGTGCAAGGAGTGCCACCTAACGGCCTGGTGAAGGATCCCAAAGCTCCACACAGCGCTCCTGGGGTCTTGGCTCTTTTTTTTTCCATACAGGAGCATATGAAATCACACACACATATTTTCACATATAGTGAAATGCAAGTCTCTTTTATGGCCTGTCTGTCCACAAACCACATTTCAAGGGTAATTTTTATGCAGAGATTTACATTCATATTTTTAAAAATATTTTATTAAATCCCAAGGCTTCAAGACAGCTGTAGTAATCCAGATGCAAGTAAGAACTTGGGTATTTCAGTTTGGAGTGTAAAACTGACAAACACTGGCTGTCTTTTAGGGAGCAGCTGCTGGAGACCAGGGCTTGCACTGCTGCCTTCACCATGTCAGGCAGCAAAAACATGCTCACAGGGGGATGGATGTGGGCCAGCTGTAACCTCACGAGGTCACCCACTCCAACCTTTTATGGCCTTTCAATTTAAGGTGACAAGATTCAACAAAAGGCACAGACATGGTCTTCTAGGATGACCAGACCCAGCAGTGCTGAGGCAAACTGCAGCTTCTTAACATTCTCCAGCCAGAGCAGTCTGCATCATCCCACCATCACCATGGACTGCTCCACTCACTTGGAAGAGATGTCCATCATTCTTTTTCCTCAGAAACTTGTTGTTGATGCCTTCTTGCTGTTAACCCTTCAGTAAAGTCTATCTTGCTTTACTTGAAGAGATGCTGTGTGTATGGAAAATGCAGGAGAACTGAGGGGCTCCAGAAGAACACGCGAGGAAGAAAACCTCACAAGCTATTTAGTGTCCTCCTGCTGCAGCAAGGGAAGTTTGAATAGCTACTTTGCACCTCAGGAATTATTACTCACTTCTTGTCCAGTTATGTCTAAGCCCTCTCTAGCCTTTAATTTTGTACTAGATTATTACCTGGTGACCTTCATTCATTAAATTGGCCCAGAGGCAGGTAGCACAGCCTGTTCCAAATGAGCAATATTTCTCTGGTTGTTCTCTTGGGAAATGTTCCTAGAAAGGGGGCTCAGGTGACAGGTTCCTGGTTCCACACTCTGAGCAGCAGGCCCTGCCCTGCCTGAGGGGCCTGCTTCCACCCCACTGTAAATAGCCTCCTCATCAGCTTATGCACAGGCATCAGGGTTGAAGTGGCTGGGAGAATACACTTCTCCCATGTGACCCAAATATTCCAGGTGAGAACAAATAGAGGTTGGACTAAAGAAGACATGAACGCACACTGTTGCTGTTAGAATGTGTTCTAAACCAGACTATTTATATCACATATCTTCTTGCAAGATACTAATACATTTTAGGAGCCCTGAGAAAAATTCTTCCCACTGCTTCATCAGAACTCAAGTGTTATGAAAACTTCCTAGATAACATTTCCATAAAGTAAAAAATACTTGCTAACATGCGACCTTCAGGATTTCTTGCTGATAACCAGTTTCAAGGCAACTGAAGTGCAGTCTCTTATGATAATAATGAAAGGGCCAAGTAACCCCCACTTAGGTAGTTTTAACCTCTGGAACTGCTCTCTGAATTATCCAGAGCAATCCTAGCAGGTCACCACAAAATGAGATGGCTTTTTCCTTTGGTTTGCAGAACCTTCTATTGACAAAATGCACACACACACTTGACCCTCCTTCATAGCTGCCTTGCCTCAAAAATCAAGTCTATTAACTTGTTTCTCAAGTTTCCATTCAGGCAACTTACGCTGCATTTCAGCGAAGTGGGTTTGTTCAAGGCTCACTGACAGCATGTGTTGTTCCAGGCAGTATCTAAACTCACTCAAGGACAAAGACAACTGATAGAGAGGATGGAATAATTCATCTTTGACCCAAATTGAGCAGCGTATTTTAAAAACATACTGGTAGTCATTGTTATTCTTTTGGGCAGGACACTGTATTCAAGCACAACATTTTACAGAAACAGCATTTGTAGTAACATACCCAAAATGAAGGTGGCCATGACCCATTAGTAACAGCCTGCAATAAATAGTAACTGCAAAGCCTTCCTCTCTGGATAAAAGAGATCCTAGTCTTAGAATACTTCCTTGTAAAAACACATGGCAGAGGTGCTATTTTTCCATAGCTAATCCAGAATTGCTCAATTGTTTGGACAATGATCTATTTTAGGACATGTATATGAGGGACAGACTTGCCTACAGCTTAAGCTCATCTTCCCTCAAGAGGCTACACTATTCACTAAATTCTTCATTTGTTTTCTGTTTGTTATTCAAATGAACAATTCAGAAGTAAAAGAAGACATTAGGAAAAATCCCCACATTTAACAATACCCACAGTCCTTCTCCTTTACTCACATCTGTCACAGTAGGAAAGTCAAATGAGGAAACTGCAGAGAGCAATTTTAATGGAAATACCTCTCAAAAATGCTTTATGATGTGAGAGATGCTTTGTGGTGCAACTCCCACCCTCATCTAAAAAAACATAAGATAATAAAAATATTTATTGGTAGTCCTGTCCTTGAAAATGTCAAGTATCACTGGAAACACTGATAGATGGCTGCAGCTTTAAGAAGGAAGTATGGAAAATTAACATGGCAAAGCAAGTTTTACTATCAGTATTCCTAAAATTTTTCACAGAAGTGCAACAATAGTGAAACTGTTTTAAAAACAGGATGGAGAAAGCAGCAGTTGATGCAATCTGTACTCACCAGCACCTGTTTTTACAGGGAATTAAGAAGGAAATGTGTTAATACAGAAAGGCTCTAATAAACAAGACTGTTATATACAGGTGAACCCACTGGTTAGTGACACAAAATGGCCAGGCTTAGTGGAAATTTAAACTTCAGTAACAATTTATTCAGAGTATACAAGAACAAAGTAATTTACATTAAACTTCTGTAGTGCCAATATTTTTTAAAATATGAAGCATTTAAAGTGAGTTAAGAGAGCAGCAGTAAAACTGTAAACATGTACAGCCATTGAAAATTACAGTAACAAGATATAAAACTATTTTGTTTAAAAGCTATTTTATATAAAACAATTTTTATATAAAACAAATTCAATCAGTTTCACTGATTGTAAGGAATCACACTGTTTAATGCTTAACCCATGAAACACCTTAGTGCACCAAGAGAACATTTCAGGCAGCTCACATAGAAAACACGTGGCTGGCACTCATAACTTCTCATGGCACAATGGCTTTAGTACTCAACTGACTGGCCTGCTAACCATGAACCTGGCTGGCTTCCAGAAGAAGCAAAATAAAGACTGGCAGGTCATGTCACTTTAATCCTAATTTGTCCTGTATAGCACTTGAAGGAAGTTTAACTGGGAAATCATGAAAGCTTTTATGACATGTCCAGGAACAGTCTTTACCAGTATTCCTAGCAGCATTCTACACAATTTTTACTTACTACTGTGAGGATATGGAGGTCAGCTACATTTTAAATTCCATTTCAGAACAGGCACATGGAGTTTAACCACAGCTAAGCAAACCCTGAGCAAAAATTACCTTTCAAACAACGTTTCCAGCCCTGGTTTATCTTTTTAAGAAACTTTCTGCTGTTCTACGAAAGACAAGAATCAAGATGTTCATTTATTTCAGATTCCAAAACATCAGTCTCACAGACAGGACAACTGACTGTTCTCTCCTGCCTCACAGGATTGCTAGGACTTGCAGAGGACTGTGTAAATTCAGCTCTAGGTTTTGTAGTTGTAGTGACATCAGTCCCCCCCTTTTTGTTGAAATACTTTTCAAAGGCAGTTTTGTCTTCCTTTTTCGGCCATTGCTGCAGCGTATTAACACGTTCTAACACATTCTTAGATGCACCCTGAGCTCTTGGGGTCTGCTCCAAACAAATTCGTTTTGGTGACCAGCTAGAAGATGGCATAGCCCTCTTGCCAGCTGGTGAGCCTTGGCTTGATGTTCCTTCAGCAACACGAGCCATCCTGGCAGGCAACCCCCAGTCGTTCTCATCATCTTCTGCATCAGCAGCAGAGGGTTTTGGAAACTCCCGCTGTAAAGCTGAGCTGCTCTTCTCACTGGCACCATTGGTACGAAGCGGAAAGATGCTGCCATGGGGTGATTTTTCCAGTTTAATCTCCTTTTTAGGGATTGGTGTTGTCCTTACTGCTGAACGATGCAGTGAGCCGTGTGCTTCACTGTTTGCAGTGGAGCTGCTGGCGTTGGTGTTTTTCTCTGAAAGCACACCATCTCCTCCTCCAAGCCGATATCCCCTCCCACTAAAAGGAGTTGGGTCTTTGCAATCACCATGCATTTCTGTCTTGCCTGCAAGATCAGATTCAAAATAAGTTAATATTTTTTTCATTAAAAAATCATGGGCTTATTATTTGAGGTGCTTCACACACAAAAAAATCAGCTGCTTGAAAATAATGCATCAAACAAAACTTTTTGCAGACAATTCAGTTGAGGAGCAGCCTAGGAGTGCACAAACAAACAGGTCCTGTTCTTTGGCTACGTAACAGCAACATCTAAACCAAGCTTATGTAGTGTTGGGTCCATATTCGTTTAAGAAAACGTCTGGACAAAAATCAGTTCAGAAAAGAAAAAAAAATTATAAAATACCTTTGTTAGTTGACTTGAAATGTGGAGGTTTTGCCGTCTGAGTTTTCTGCTTGGACTTCTCTGAGAATTTGTCTGGCTCCTTCACTTTAGTGAACGTGCCCCCACAGGTCTTTTGATGTTCATCCCACCAGAAGTCATGTGCAGAGGGTGCTCTGTTCATGGAGCGCTTCACGTACCCAAAGTAAGGTGCTCTGTTCTGGCAGGGGCCATTGCACCGCCACCAGTGCTGGCGGTACAAATTAATCTCATCATAAAAATTGTGATAGATCTGCGTTAAAAAACAAAAAAACAAACCCACAAAAAAACAGTCATTCATGAAGTTACAAATTTTATATCACTAGCTCTATAATATTTTTTTAATAATCTATTTCCATTCAATTCCTTCCACTGCTAGTGTGATTTTTATATTAGCAGTTAAAAGAGCTAGACCTGAGTAAAATTTGATCTACATTTAGCTATCATTAAAACAAAGCTTTAAAAAAGAATGTGGAGGAGTACGTCCTGGTTGCAACGGCAATAAAATCAGTTTGGAAATTTATCTACAATTTCACCTAGAATGCATTGCAAACAATACCAGTAATGCATTCCCCTTTCAGCTATTACCTTAATTGATCTTATTAGACACGTTATTTTTAAATATTAACATAAATATCATTACCCACTATTGACTACACTTCACATGGATCACTTCTTTCCCTGCTACCATTTAAGCTCTTTCTAGTTTACCACAAAAAAGCTTAAAAGAAAAATTCTTACAGACAACATACCTGAAAATTACATCACTAACAGCTCACCACATCATCCTCAACCTGTTCCCACCACCACCACCCCCAACAAATAACTATGGAACTAGCACACACTTGGATGCAAATTTGTATTGGTACCAACTGTGGAGTGTCTGTTAAGAACATTACTTATTCTGCACCAGTCAACTGAAACAGCAAACCAGGAAGAAAGCTCTATTAAATCAGGTGGAGAGGATTATTCTTACTGTGACATTGGCTCCAGTCAAGAGATTAATGCGACGCATGTGCTTGCAGAACTCCGGTCCGTGAGACTCACGATCTTTGTAGTTATGAGTAACAAAGAGCAGGGCATGGATCATTTCGTGCAACAGTGTCTGCAATGATGCAACCATTAGACAGTCACTGAAAAGCATTGCACTTTCAGTTTCATGGTTGAGCTGCAAGTATTTTACTCTTCTACATTGATTGTGGTTACTGATCTTATCTTTTGATTATTCACATATTCGGTCTGGGTCCTAAAAACATAATTGAGCTATCAAACCAAATTACCCCTATTCTCACATCACTAAAACATACTGCACAATGTCACTCCAATAAGCAGCATTCCAAAAAAAAAGAAATACTCCTCAAACTTAAATCACATCTTTAAAGACATCATGCCCTACACACCCTCAAAAAAAGAGCCACTTCTGAGCAAGCTGAAACTCTACAGCATTTCTGTTCTTAGGCAAATCTGAATGTTCAGCCAGCTCAAAGCAGCAGCTCTGGCAGAGGCCCAAGGAGCAACAAAATGTCACGTTTAAGTCATATCCTATATCCTTATTTTCTGCTGTTGGCCTTTTAGAAACTACCATCCACGTTTGCTTTGAATATTAAAGGATAATTTAGGAGTTAAAAAACTTGGGGTGTTTTTTTCTCTATATAAAGTCAATAAAATAAACGAGCTACTTTAGACTTCTACTTGGATTTGCCTACTTAGAAACATAAAACTAAAGATTACCATGGTACTGCAATACAAGCCACACAAACCTAACAGTAAAGCCACCACTATTTCATGACATATAAGTTGCTGCATAAAAGAATCCCACGATGAAACCTAAAATGTTTGTACGAAGTGGGGGGGTGGGCACAACACACTTTATGTGCCGGTTCATGAGCCACCTCCAAATACCTCCACAAGGTCCTTCCTCGGCCGCAACTTTAGAAGCGGCTCGCTGAGACGAATGGAACACAGCCCACTTCTCTCGTGGTATGAACAGATACCAGCAGAGCTGAAAGGAAAAGAAGAAAGAAAATATGACAATCTATTTGATTTTGTAGCACATGAAAAAAACAGAATTTAAGTTAAAATGCCATCCCCTGCAAACACATGCTAGGTCACTTAGAACATGGAGTAAAATCACTTTGAGTAGTTATCTGAAAAACTTAGCATTGTTAAGCAAAAAAAAAAAAAAAAAAAAAAAATCCACAAGTTCCTTAGAGTAGAAAAACCTGTTTTGAAAGCAGAAGAATATTTCTTTTAGAACTTGTGATGGACTAAAATACAAAGCACGGAGGCTAGAGAGTCACAGCAGCAAACGCTGACTTAATTGCTGGTTGTTTCAATTTCACTCCCCACCCTTCATCAACTTTTGGCTCATACTGAATCTACATATACCTCCACTTCTGTGCACTAATCCTTTTTTTGTCAGTGTTAGTCCTACTGAGTTAGTTCTCTATCAGTGCAGTATCCAACTATTTCCAAATGCCTAAAGAATACTGCAGCCAGCAGAGGATAAGAAGTGGCAGGACTCCAGCTGCCAGCAACTGCATCTGCTGCAGAACTGCAGACTGCACTTCAAAGATTCCTGGGTTTGTTTAACCTCAGCTTTCTTCTATACCCCCCTTCCTAGCCCATTCTACATTTTTCGAATATACTATTATTGGTTGATATTTGCCGATCTGCCCTGCAGTAAAACTATCATAAAGACTGAGAACCAGAGCAGCAACACGAGTACGTGAGGTTTCCACACACACCATCTAAGACCAAGTCATTTCTTCCATTCTAACATCCCTCCGGCTTGCCTGCACGCCGGGGAAAGCCACTGATGGCTGCTAGGGACGGCAGATGCAAGGCAAGGGAGACAACGACAGCGACCAACTCCTGTCCCGCCGTACGGGCTCTGCCAGAGATGCGGAACATCCCCGTGCCCGGGAAGAGAAGCCATGGCACCAGCAAGGCGCTGGCGGGGCACAGCGAGGAGCAGCACAGTGACAAATGGCAGCTCCTCCCCGACACTTGCAGCCACACGCTGCGGCTCCACGGGTGCCGGCCCTTCCCGCCGCCCCCAAACCGCGCCCGAAACACAAGGATCGGCCTGCCTGCCCGGCCGTGCGACCGCCCCCAAGACAGGGCAGCGCCGGGAGCTCGGCCCCACAGCCGCGGTGCCGTACCTGGTCATGCGGGGGCTCCAGGACACCGTGACAGCCTCCAGCTTGCCCCAGAAGAGCGTCTGGTTGAAGTGCACGAACAGGCCATGAACGTCGGGGCTGGGGTCCAGCAGCTCCCACGCCTCATCCACCACCGACAGCGGGCGGAGGGACGAGCGGTACGGAGAGACATCAGGGCGCTTTGCTGCCGCCGCTGCCGCCGCCTTGTCCTGCTCTTCCCATTCCCTCTGCAGCCTGAGCGCCAACAAGAAATCCTCGTCCTCCATCCCGAGCGCGGCTGCCCTCAGCCGGCACCGCCGCCACCGGAAACCGCAGCACCGCGGCGCACGCGCAGCACCGACCCGCGGGCTGCTGCCGCCGCGTCCTTCCGAGTGCGCGCGCCGCCGCCGCCGCCGTCGCCTCCGCCCCTTCCTTCCCTTCCCTCCCCTTCCCTTCCTTTCCCTTCCTGTCCTTTCCTTCCTTCCCTCCACCCCCACCCCGCCCGGCGCGGCCCCATCGCGTCACCGCTGGCAGCCGCTCCTGCCGCCGAGCCGCGGGACGCAGGCGCGGTGCGGTGTCGTGTCCCCGGTAGCGGCAGGGCGGGTACCGGGCGGCGGCGGCTGCGGCGCGGACATGGCACTGTCGCTGGGCGAGGGCGGCGGCGGGAGCCGGCTGCGGCGGCAGCTGGAGTCGGGCGGCTTCGCGGCAGGGGAGTACGTGAAGCAGCTGTCGCAGCAGTCGGACGGGGACCGGGACTTGCAGGAGCACCGGCAGCGCATCCAGGCGCTGAGCGAGGAGACGGCGCAGAGCCTGAAGCGCAACGTCTACCAAAACTACCGGCAGTTCATCGAGACGGCGCGGGAGATCAGCTACCTGGAGAGCGAGATGTACCAGCTCAGTCACATCCTCACCGAGCAGAAGGGCATCATGGAGGCCGTCACCCAGGCCCTGCTCCTCCAGGCCGACCGCGACGACCCCGCGCTGGGCGCCCGCCGCGCCGCCGCCGCCGACCCCTTCCTGCCGCTGTCGGCCAAGGACGCGGCGGCCAACGAGGAGGGGCGGCAGCGCACCCTCACCACCCTCCTGGAGAAGGTGGAGGGCTGCCGCGACCTCCTCCCCGAGAGCCCTGGCAAGTACCTGGTCTACAACGGCGACCTGGTGGAATACGACGCCGACCACATGGCGCAGATCCAGCGGGTGCACGCCTTCCTCATGAACGACTGCCTGCTCGTGGCCACCGCCCTGCCCAACCGCCGCGGCGCCTACCGCTACGACGCCCTGTACCCCCTGGACGGGCTGGCCGTGGTCAACGTCAAGGACAACCCGCCTATGAAGGACATGTTCAAGCTGCTCATGTTCCCCGAGAGCCGCATCTTCCAGGCTGAGAACGCCAAGATCAAGAAGGAGTGGCTGGAGGTGCTGGAGGAGACCAAGCGCAATCGCGCCCTCAGCGAGAAGCGACGCCTGGAGCAGGAGGCGCTGCCCCGGCCCGCCCCGACGCCCCCCGAATCCACCAACCCCTTCGACGAGGATGAGGACGAGGAGGAGGAGGATGAGCCCTCCGCTGAGGAGGAGGTCGTTGACCTCTCACTTGAGTGGATCCAGGAGCTGCCCGAGGACCTGGACGTCTGCATTGCTCAGCGGGACTTCGAGGGGGCGGTGGATCTCTTGGATAAACTGAACGAGTACCTGGCGGACAAGCCCGTGAGCCAGCCCGTGAAGGAGCTGCGGGCCAAGGTGGACGAGCGCGTCCGGCAGCTGACGGATGTGCTGGTGTTCGAGCTGTCCCCGGACCGCTCGCTACGAGGCGGGCCGCGGGCCACCCGCCGAGCCGTGTCCCAGCTCATCCGCCTGGGCCAGTCCACCAAGGCCTGCGAGCTGTTCCTGAAGAACCGGGCGGCCGCCGTGCAGACGGCCATCCGGCAGCTGCGCATCGAGGGCGCCACGCTGCTCTACATCCACAAGCTCTGCCATGTCTTCTTCACCAGCCTCCTGGAGACGGCCAGGGAGTTTGAGACGGACTTCGCCGGCAACAACGGCTGCTACTCGGCCTTCGTTGTCTGGGCGCGCTCGTCTATGAGGATGTTTGTAGATGCCTTCAGTAAGCAAGTATTTGATAGCAAAGAGAGTTTGTCAACTGCGGCAGAGTGTGTCAAGGTAAGAGAGTCCGAAGAGGGGGGTGGTGGAGCACAGCAGATGAAACAAAGGCTTCAAAGCTTTAAAGTCTCTTCTCTAACTCTAGTTTAGCTGTTGACTCTTGTGTGTGTCTCCAGAGAGGTTTTTTGCGTTGAAAGATTAATATTCATTTGAGGTTTGTTTGGTTTTTTTTCAGTTTAACAGAGGAAAGCCTTAAGGTTATAATACGTGTCAAGGAAAACCCTGCCTTTATCAAGAATACAAAATGTGTTGATTCTTAATTTGCCTTTAACTAGTAGGAGGTCCTAAAATTTACATAAGCCACACCTGAATTATAAGTACTTCAAAATTTTCTCTTTGTTTTCCAAGGCTGTCCTTAGCTACATTTTCATACTTTTTTTGCAAGACTAACTTTCTTAGGTTATGCTTTCTTTCAGCTGCTAATTGGGAGGGGGGGAAAAAAAAGCTTATGTATGTGGGTTATATAGTGAAATTGTCCAGAGTATTTTTGACAGCCAGGGTGTATCTTTCAGTTACTAATTTCTCGTTAATGAGATTCTTAAAGCACGAGAAGTAAGTATGAGTAACCCTTCTCAGTTTTCTGAGATACATTCGATAAATGTGTAAAATGTAAAGGGAGCCTGCGTAGTAATAACAACACAGTAATAACCATAACATTGCTTTTCTTTGTTATCCCAGGTGGCTAAAGAGCACTGCAAGCAGCTGAGCGAGATTGGACTGGATCTCACCTTCATCATTCACGCTCTCCTGGTGAAGGATATCAAAGGTGCTTTGCAGAGCTACAAGGATATCATCATCGAGGCCACCAAGCACCGCAACTCTGAAGAGATGTGGAGAAAGATGAACCTGATGACTCCGGAGGCTCTGGGGAAGCTCAGGGAGGAAATGAGGAGCTGTGGAGTGGGCAATTTTGACCAATACACCGGTGATGACTGCTGGGTCAACCTCAGTTACACTGTAGTAGCTTTCACTAAGCAGACTATGGCCTTCTTGGAAGAAGCATTAAAGCTTTATTTTCCAGAGCTGCATATGGTTCTCCTGGAGAGCCTGGTGGAAATCATCCTGGTGGCTGTCCAGCATGTTGACTACAGTTTACGGTGTGAACAGGACCCTGAGAAGAAAGCATTCATTAGGCAGAACGCCTCTTTCCTTTATGAAACTGTCCTTCCTGTTGTGGAAAAAAGGTTTGAGGAAGGAGTTGGAAAACCAGCCAAGCAGCTACAGGATCTGAGAAATGCCTCAAGATTGATGCGTGTAAATCCGGAAAGTACCACCTCTGTGGTGTGAAGTGAACCTAACTGTTCCCGGGAACGAGGTGGCAGCACTTACTGAACATGTTGTACATTGAGCAGATGAACTAAACTGGGGTGTTTTGAGTCCCTGAAAGATGCAGAACTCTTGTCTGCTACATTCCAGAAGCTGAAGACTTTGAATCAATCCCTGCAAGCATGCAATGCTTTACTTGGTGGATGGGGTGTAGGGAAGTGAGAAGGTGGAGGTCACATGTCCTTGGACAGCATATCCTGAATGAAAGGCTTGTGTAGTATTTGTGACTTGGGAATTAACTGTAATACACAAATTTTGGCCAGTTGTTTGTGAAAGTCTTACATACATGTACAGCAGATGGCAGGAAAAGATCAATTCTCATCATGTCACTCTAGCAGTTCCTTTTTAAGGCAGTGTTCTGGTAGGAGGGGAAGTGCTGAAGCATTCCCAGGGTGTGGTATTCAAGAAGGCACATCCACCATCCAGATGTGACTCAGCACTGCAGATAAATGACATGGATTTGCACAATGTGATTTTTGTGGTAGCAATGCAGACTTTTCTTTAACGTTGAGATTATCTTCATTCATTTCAGAGGCATATTGAATTAAAAATGTTTTCATTTGGGTGAAAGGGCTTCTTCTGTTAAATAAGCTGGCCTGTCAGCCTAAGTTATAACTGTCTGAAAACAAACCTGCTGTCAGAACCATTAGTTTGCTTCAAGAGAAGTGAGAATAAATTGCTTCCCTTCCTCTTTGTGTTCCTCTTCCATGTTTTCTCATGGATCTAATTGGGGTCACGTCCATTTAGTGAAGTGTGCACTGTTGCTTGAGGTGCTGCCACAAATGCATTATGGGCTGTTGTCTCCTGGTTGGAACCATAGTGAAGAGGCATAAATGCTCTTGAGACATGCAGGGCAGGGAGAGGGACTGAAGGGACTGTTTCATTTGGAAGAAATGGAATGCCAGTTTTGCGATACAGAACCAACACCTGGTGAAGAGACTGTGAGGCTTTTTGTAAGAGATGTGAACTTTGAAATATACACTGTCTCCTGCAAGAGCTAGCATCATTTCCTGTAATACAGCAATAAGCAAGAAGAACTATCTTTTTTGCAGAAATCACAAGGATTTGGTTGGCAATTTTAATGTTGATGGGAAAAGTTTATACAAATGCTCTTATGTTTGGATTGAATGGTGTTGGCTGTCTCATGCAGTGTATGCCTGTGAAAATAAAGTAAGCCAAGTCTTGTGTCAAGGCTGGCTTTGGAAAGGTGTCAGCTTCAACTTCTAAGCTGTGCAAACTTCTTCTGCTTCTGTGCAAACTTTCTTAGTTGTGAGAAAATCATGTTACAGCTAAGGGACCTTGTGATCAGTCCCTTAGAAAGCATCCTTAACAGGAATAACAAAATATCCTGTTCCTGTAGCACTTTGAAATTAAAGCTCTTGCAGGTTGTATCATGGTCATGAATGCCTTGTGACTGCCTGAACAAACAAAAGATACCTCTAATTAAACATTCTGCATAACTGTTATACTGAAGCTTCTTAATTTCTCCCTGTTTTCATAATGCTAGTTTAGTGCAGTTTCCACTTGAGTGGCTGCGTTTTGTTCTCTTGCTTTTTGGATGCCTTTTGAACTGTCAGATTTTGCAAAGCGTCCTTTTGTCTCTGCTCACTTGCTTTTCAGTGTTTGGGCCTTTTGCTAGAAACTCATAAAGTCATACAAAATGTTTTTAAAGGGTAACTTGTTGCTCCCAGCTTACATTGATTGAAAACCAGTGAGTAGCTCTACTTTTATTGTAAGGGACAGGGACAGTGAGTTAGAACTTGTGTAACATGTTCTGTCAAAGAGAGAGAGAGTGTCCTACTGGTGTTATTTCAGTAGTGAACTCTTTCTGATATCAG